TGTTGGTATCTCATCTCAAATGCGTCCCTCGTCTACGGTGCCTCTCCCCGCTGGCCTACATGTTTGCTGCCACTCCTTCCACTGCTGCCAATATTGCTTGCCTCTCTGCTGGTTCATACAGGCCCTGGCAACCCTGAACGGAGGCCAGGTGGTGCCGGCACCAGAGCCTGTGCATGGAAGGCTCAGGTATGCGCCGGGTGGTGTACAAAGCATGTGATGCATGGCATGGCATGGCATGGCATGGCATGGCATGGCATGGCATTACACATTATTGATCTGATATCCATGGAGGCCAGGTGGTGTCGGCACCAGAGCCCGTGCATGGGAGGCTCTCGTATGCATCAAGTGGGTGGTATAGCGTGGCTCTGCATGGCATGGCATGGCATGGCATGACTGTTCGAAGGCCGGGTGCTGTCAGCACCAGGGGGCCTGTGCATGGGAGGTTCTGGTATGCACCGAGTGTCGTACGAAGCATTGGATTTGATGCATGGCATGGCGTGGCGTGGCGTGGCGTGGCGTGGCGTGGCATGCCATGGCGTGTCATTGAAACGAATCGAATGGAGGCATGGTGATGCCGGCTCCAGAGCCATGCATGCATTTCATGGATGGGAGGCCTGTGCAGGTAGGTGTGGCGTAATGTTCAGGGTGCATGCATGCATACACACCTTGAACATCATTTTTTATGGTTTCCAAAAGTAACTCACGTTTTCGGTGTTCAGATCAAATCTCTCCATTCTTTCCAGACTGCCCTTTCTAGAGCATTGTTTCAAGAGCACCCTTTCTGTTTTCCCATCCCATGCTGATGCTGCCACGTGCATGCAGTGGTGTGGAGCACACGGGTCATCCTCTCTTCACCAACATTCCGTCTGGCCCTCTTTTCCAGGTGCCTCTCCTCTCTACCTCTCCCAGCTAAATGCAACTTATTCTTGAGTTTCCAAAATCTACTTGCGTATAACAAGTCATCCTCTCTCTCCACCTGCTCATTCTCCCCCATCCCCCGCCATGCTTCCGTGCTGCGTGCGTGCATACACCACAGGTAGTGCGCTATCACTCCCTTGCTGTCCACTGGGCCTCCCTTTCCAACGACTTAGAACCCATCGCCTGGACCACCAATGATCCTCTTTTCACCTCCTTTACTCTCTCCCCCTCCCTTCCGCTCTCCCATGCAGGTGGTGCGCTATCACTCCCTTGCTGTCCACTGGTCTACTCTTCCCAATGAATTAGAACCCATCGCCTGGACCACCAATGACCCTCTTTTCACCTTCTCACTCTCCCCCCCCCCCACCCCCATCCAACGTCATCTGCATGTGTGCTCTGCAGGTGGTGCGCTATCACTCCCTTGCTGTCGATGGGATTTCACTTCCCACCGACTTAGAACCCATCGCCTGGACCACCAATGACCCTCTCTCCACCCACATCGCCTCACCTGGGGCACCAGCAGCCACACCAAGTTCTGTTGGGGGCGCACAGGCAGCGAATGGGGCGATGATTGCAGGAGCAGAGGTGGCTGTGAACGGGGCTTGTAGGGGTACGGAGCCAGGAGGTGATGTGGGGAAAGGAGCGCCAAGTGGGAACGCTGTGGTTGTGAACAGGATGGTGGCACCACGTCAGTGTTATCAACAGGAGCAGCAGCATGAGCAGCAGCAGGAGCAGCAGTCGAATAGAGTGATTATGGGTCTGGCACACAAGAGACGGCCACACGTGGGGGTGCAGGTGGGTTGCTGGCTGGCGGTTATGGATGGATAATATTGTGAGTCGATTCACTTCACCCCCACATGCTTGTGGGTATTGTATTGCAAGTATCACGTCACGTTGCCTGATGCATGCAACGCAACGCATCGCATTTGGGTGGGTTGGGGTCTCCGTTCCGTTCCTCCGTCTCTTCCCTCATCCGCTTCTCCCCTCCTCCGTTTTCTGCCTTCTCCGTTTTCTGCCTTCTCCGTTTTCTGCCTCCTCTTTTTCTCGTCTCCACAGTTTCATCCCGAGAGCATCGGCACGTCATTTGGGCGGCAACTGCTGAAAAACTTTAAGGCTCTTGCAGTGAGGGCGATTAGGGAGAGGGGGAGGCAGAGCGAAGAGAGGGAGAGGGGAGAAGGGCGAGAGAGGAGCAAAGAATGGGAGAGGGTGAGGGAGACAGGAGTTGACGTGGGGGCCATGAGCCGAAATGGTTCTGCCAAGATAGCTGTAGGAGCAGCAGCAGCATCAGCAGCAGCGCCGCCAGCAGCAACAATGGAAGTAGCAGAAACATTAGAAATATGTGCAGTGGGGGCAGCAACAGGAGGTGGGACGTTGCGTTCGCAGCTTGATTTGATGGCGCGGGTAAGTATCGCGACCAACTGCACCCTCTCTGTCATCCGCTCTCCTCCAACTTCTGAGTCGACTCAAAGCACACCTTGTGGGTCGACTCAAAAGCACACGCACACCTATCTAGTCAACGCAAAGCACACTTTTGAGTCTACTAGAAACGCAACTAGATTTGATGGCATGGGTAAGCATTGCGACAGCTGCAATCTCAGGTTCTATGCCATCTCTTACATGCTCTCCCTCCAAACCTGAGTGCACCCTGTCTGGCTACCCCGTTCTTGTCATCCACTCACTACGCGTATACTCTACACGAGAATCTCACTATCAAAGCCAAGAAAGGTAAAGCAAGGCTCTCTCTACTCTCTTTCTACCGAAACGGGTTCACTCCTTGCTGGTTTGAATCAAAACCTTGAGTCCATCTATTCTGGGATTGTGCTGTGCTTGCAATGAATGCATTTCCACTATTGTTGACCGTGAAGATTCAGTCTCAAAGCCAAGAGATTTCGACTCAGAGCTGTATGCTATCTTTTTGCCGCACAAGTGCGATGCCCATATTACTTTCCCATTACATGCATCTCATGCCATTACATGCATCTCATGCCATTACATGCATCTCATGCCATTACCATTGCCTTCCCTGCTCTCCACCCCCTATCTGCCGCCCAGCTGTGTGTGCCGGCCAGAGACGGCTCTATGGTGTGCGGCAGAGACATGGATCTGGGCGGCAGTGCCATGGATCTGGGCGGCAGAGACATGGATCTGGGCGGCAGAGACTTGGATCTGGGCGGCATTGATTCGGGCGGTAATAATGTTGAGGCCACGAGGATGCGACACAAGAGAGGGAATGGTTGGTGGGCTGCATCTTCGATGGGGCTGCCACCATCGTTACTAAGCGGATTAATACAGTCATCACCATCAGCATCAGCAGCAACATCATCATCAGAATCAATTTCAGAATCAGCATCAGCAGCAACATCAGCATCATCAACAGTATTCTTCTCCCCTCCAAAACCCCTTGTTCTGAAAGTAACTCGGCTCGACGGATTTCTTCACAGATTGAGTGACGCACTAGCTGCAGCAGCAACACCATCAGCAGCATCATCACCATCACCGTCCGCACCACCATCAGCATCAGCATCAGCATCGTCACGAGCAGCAGCGGCTATCTTCACCCATCTATTCGCCGAACAAGGGGAAAGCTACTCCGACACTTTCTGGCTTGACAGCGCATCCACACACCAGGTGTGTTCCCCTCCACACACACACACACACACACACACACACACACACACACACACACACACACACACACACACACACACACACACACACACACACACACATCAGGCCCCTTTCATGCACCATCTGAAGGCCAGCTGGCTAGGATAGAACGGGTGTATTGTCGCCCAGCAAGGGGAGAGACAGCCACTTCGACACTTTCTGGCTTGACAGCGCATCCACACACCAGGCGTGTGCTTGTAACAATGCATTCGCACACGGTTCTCCTACATGAGAGCACGAGGGATTCCCTTCTGTTCCTAGCTCACATGTGAACTGCTGGTTACCACTGCCAGTTGACCCTCCGTTCTCCTTCTCTTGCCCTCTATAACTGCCCTCATCATACTGTCTCATCTTCTTTCCATCTGCTCCTTGCAGGGCTTGGCGCGCTTCTCCTACATGGGTGGCCGGGGGGGTCCCCTCTGGTCCAAACTCACGTACCAACTGGCTGCCGAACCTCCTTTGGTAGCCGAACCTCCGCTGGCAGCCGAACCTCGTTTGACAGCAGCACCTCAGTTGCCAGCCGAACGTCCTTTGCCGAGCCACACAGAGAATGGGAGCGGCAAAGGCAGTGCAAGCAACGGCACTAGTAACACTGAACCTGACAGCAGCAACAGCAACAGGGGGCACAGCCCTGCCAGTGGAAATAGTAGCAGCAGTAGGAGTAGCAGCAGTAGCAACAGAAGTGTTAACCCTGACATTAGCAGCAACGATAGCAGTAGAAGCAGCTGTCGCAGCGGCGCAAATACTAACGACAATCATAACAATGGCGGCAACGGTAGCAGCAGCAGCAGCAACAACAACGGTAGCAGCAGCAGCAGCAGCAACAGCAACAGCAGCAACGGTAGCAGCAGCAGCAGCAACAGCAGCAGCAACAGCAGCAATCGTAGCAGCAGCAGCAGAAGCCAGCCTACATTAAACGGGGGTGTCACATTCGATAGAGTCACGGGCGGCACTCTCCAATTGGAGAGCAGTGAGGGCGATGTGACTATAGTGAAGGAAGGCACATGGGAGGGCGGCATATTCAGCTTTCTCGAAGAGGTGAGCATCTAGGGGCCCTTAACTGCAAGCATGGAGTTGTGTTGTGAAGCTGTGCTTGCAGCATTCAGGCGATGTGATGTGACTATGGTGAAGGAAGGGACGTGGGAGGGTGGCATTTTCAGCTTCCTCAAAGAGGTAAGCTTCCAGGGGCTCTTGGTTCATGGTGTTGGGAGGCTGTGCTTGCAGCATTCAGGCAATGTGATGTGACTATGGTGAAGGAAGGGACGTGGGAGGGAGGGTGTCGTCGTTAGATTCCTCGAAGAGGTGAGCTTCTAGGGGCTTCTAAGGCATTGAGTCGTGTCGGGTAATTATAAGGGCAAGTTAACAACCAGGCTTAGTGCCCAGGTATCGCTCATTTTCGATCCCTGCTACCACGTACCTGAGCACTAATCGAAAGGGGAATGAGGATGAGGAATGGGGAAGTGGTGTTCAAGTGGGGAAGAGGAATGGGGATGAGGAATGGGGATGAGGAATGGGGAAGTGGTGTTCAGGCTACTACGTATGCACCCACCCATCCCCATTCCTCACTTCAATCTCCCTCCCCCCCCCACCGACAGCACCTGCAGCAGCACCACAGGAGGCTGCTACTCTACTATCCCTTAATCTTGTCTCCCCCCTCCATCCTCTGTATGCCCTCGCTCGGACTTCCCACCCTTCCCCCCATCAACAGTACCTGCAGCAGCACCAGTGTGCAACCCACCTCACGAGCCCCTCTCTCTTATGATTCTCATTCTTATTCTCAGTTCCTGCTTCTTATCATTCCCTTATCTCCCCACACAACAAACCCCCATCAACAGCACCTGCAGCAGCACCAGTGCGCACCACACGAGGCGGCTGTTCTGCCTTTCGACTTCTGTGGCGGCTGGGTCGGCTATTTTGGGTAAGCCAGTGGATCAGCTATTTTGGGTAAGCCAGTGGATCAGCTATTTTGGGTAGCTCAGTGAGTCGGCTATTATGGTTGGGTACTTGGAATATGCCAAAGAATGGGCTCTCTCGAGTAAGCCAGTGGATAGGTCGGGGTCATGACTCATGCTGCAGTGATGCTTGCTTCGATCGTGCCTTTTCAGGCAAGCCCGTGAGGTGAAGGTCAGATCCTTCCATCCATCCGGCACCTTGCTGTTTAGCCTTGCCTGCAGGTCGAGGTGACTTTTGAATCGACTCAAAACGAGGTGACTTGTGAGTCGACTCACAAGTCACCTCTTTTCAGGTAAGCCCGTGAGTTCAAGGTCAGTTCCTTCCATCCGACGCCTTGCTGTTTAGCCTCGCCTGCAGGTCGCTGCTGCAGTTCGTGTTTTGAGACGTCTCAGAACTCGAAAATCGAGACGTCTCAAAACTTGTTTAGCCTTTCCTGCAGGTCGCTGCTGCAGTGCAGGTCGTTGGCTTTTAAGTTGATGGTGTCATGCCTTGTTGTGCATGCTTGCGCGCATGCAGGTACGAGCTGAAGAGGGAGTGCGGTGCAGACCACAACCGCCACAGGTCGCCCTTCCCGGACGCGGCTCTTTTCTGTGTGGACCGATGGGTGGTGCTTGATCATGGGCGAGGGGACGTGTATGTGTGTGCTGTGGAGGAGGGTAGAAGGGGGGAAGAGGGTGGGGAAAAAGAGGAGGAGAGGGGGAAAGATGTGCTTAGAAGTGGGGAAAGAGAGGAGATAGGTGAGGGGAGAGGAGAGGGTAGGAACGAGAGCAGGAGTTGCAGCGGCGGTGGTACAAGTGCCGGTGCGTATGCCGCTCATGTGCTTCGGTGCGGTGCAGATAGGGGAGAATGGGGAGGGGCTGGAGGAGGGGAGGGTGAGAGAGGAGGTGGGGAGACAGCAGGGGGCAGCAGCAGGGATGAAGCAGAGGGGGGGAGTGGAAAGGAAACGGATGGGTGCAGATGGGTGGCAGAGGCGAGTGAGAAGCTGATGGCTTTGGTGGAGAGAGGGGTTTCTGAGGCGAGTGGGGCAGAGGTAGAGGCTGCCACAGAGGCAGTGCATTTGAGAGAAGCTGTAGAAGGGGGATTTGCAGTACAGTCAGCTGGAGGGAATTCGGCAAGAGCAGATGCTGAGGGCCTCACAGTTCTGTCAGAGCCCCTGGTGCTGGAGAGGTGTAGAGAGCGGTACAAGGCTGATGTAGCGCGGTGCCTGGGGGAGATTGCCAAGGGAGAGAGCTATGAGCTGTGCCTCACCACCCGCCTTGAGAGTGAATCTCAGCCGTCACATCCGCTCGGGGCGTATTTACGGCTGAGGGAGAGGAACCCTGCTCCGTTTGCTGCTTGGATGTGCATGGGTGAGATAAGTCCATACTCCATGAGTGAGGTGGGGGAGCCAAAATTGAGTGACGGAACAGTGCAGTGGGGGAAAGAGGAGGACGAGGGGGGGGGAGTGGGGAAAGAGCCAAAGTTTGTGGGGGAAGAAGAGGAGAACCAGCAGCAGCGGCACGACCACCAACACCACCGCCGCCGCCGCCACCACCAAAACCACTCTGTGCTCCGCTCCCCTTTTGCCCTCTGCTGCTCCTCTCCTGAGCGGTTCCTGCGGGGCGACAGGCGCGGCATGCTGTGGGCGAAGCCCATCAAGGGCACTGTGAGGCGGGGGGCGACGGAGGAGGAGGATGAGTGGCTGAAGAGAGAGCTGATGTGCAGGTGAGAAAGAGAAGAGGTAGAGGAGGGAGGGGTTATGGTGACAGGTAGGCACAGCATGCAGTGGGCGAAACCCATTAAGGGCACTGTGAGGTGTGGGGCGACAGCGGAGGATGAGCGGCTGAAGGAGAGCTCTTTCTCAGGTGAGTGTTTAAGAGGTAGAGGAGGGAGGAATCGAGTGCTTAAGAGGTAGAGGAGGGAGGAATCGAGTGCATGTACGTAGAATAGCCATGCTGTGGGCGAAGCCCATCAAGAACACCATGGGGCATGGGGCGACGGAGGAGGAGGAGGAGGAGGAGGAGGAGGAGGAGGAGGAGGAGGAGGAGGAGGAGGAGGAGGAGGAGGAGGAGGAGGAGGAGGAGGAGGAGGAGGAGGAGGAGGAGGAGGAGGAGGAGGAGGAGGAGGAGGAGGAGGAGGAGGAGGAGGAGGAGGAGGAGGAGGAGGAGGAGGAGGAGGAGGAGGAGGAGGAGGAGGAGGAGGAGGAGGAGGAGGAGGAGGAGGAGGAGGAGGAGGAGGAGGAGGAGGAGGAGGAGGAGGAGGAGGAGGAGGAGGAGGAGGAGGAGGAGGAGGAGGAGGAGGAGGAGGAGGAGGAGGAGGAGGAGGAGGAGGAGGAGGAGGAGGAGGAGGAGGAGGAGGAGGAGGAGGAGGAGGAGGAGGAGGAGGAGGAGGAGGAGGAGGAGGAGGAGGAGGAGGAGGAGGAGGAGGAGGAGGAGGAGGAGGAGGAGGAGGAGGAGGAGGAGGAGGAGGAGGAGGAGGAGGAGGAGGAGGAGGAGGAGGAGGAGGAGGAGGAGGAGGAGGAGGAGGAGGAGGAGGAGGAGGAGGAGGAGGAGGAGGAGGAGGAGGAGGAGGAGGAGGAGGAGGAGGAGGAGGAGGAGGAGGAGGAGGAGGAGGAGGAGGAGGAGGAGGAGGAGGAGGAGGAGGAGGAGGAGGAGGAGGAGGAGGAGGAGGAGGAGGAGGAGGAGCAGCAGCAGCAGCAGCAGCAGCAGCAGCAGCAGCAGCAGCAGCAGCAGCAGCAGCAGCAGCAGCAGCAGCAGCAGCAGCGGCTCAAGGGAGAGCAACTGAGTAACACCTGGAGATCATTTCCAATGAAGGGGCTTGAAATTTGTACTTTCTCTTGTTTGCCATGCTCACACCTTTCGTCCAACTTTGTTTTCTCTGATCCTTCCAATTCCTCCCAACCCATCCCAACCACTCCTTTTCTGTCAGTGACAAGGACCGGGCTGAGAACCTCATGATCGTTGATCTTCTCCGGAACGATCTCGGGCGAGTCTCAACCGTCGGATCGGTGCACGTCCCGTCTCTCATGGCCGTTGAATCCTACGCCACTGTTCACCAGCTCGTGAGCACTGTAGCAGCGCAACGCCGCCCGGACCTCTCCCCACTGGCCTGCATCCGGGCGGCGTTTCCGGGCGGCTCGATGACCGGGGCACCAAAGATAAGATCTATGGAGATTCTGGATGAGATTGAAGGGTCGGCGAGGGGACCTTATTCGGGAGCCTTGGGGTTCGTTTCATTTTCGGGCACCTTTGATTTGAATATTGTGATTCGAACGGCTGTGATGGGTGGAGAGCTGGGGGTGGAGTTGGAGAGGGAGGCACGGGCAGGGGAGGATGGGGAGGCAGAGGAGGGAGGAGTGAAGGCCTGGGAAGGGGACGGAGGAGGAGCGAGTGGAGAAGAGGAATGGATAGAGGGTAAGGGGGAGAATGGGGCAAGAAGGGCTGCTGTGGATTGGAAGAGGGCCAGACGAAAGGGCAGGACGATGATTGGAGCAGGAGGGGCGGTAGTGATGTTATCGCAACCAGAGAGTGAGTTTGAAGAGATGGTGCTTAAAGCTAGGTCTCTGGTGAGAGTGCTGCGACCAGATGGAGCTGATGATCTGAACGGGGTGTGATTGGCCAATGTGATCGGGCGATGAGGACATACGGTATCTGCTTCCTATCTTCACTGGGGTGCGAGACACTGCTTGCCAACACTCATTGGGTGGAGATGTGGAGATTATTTTTCTGGGAGTCTAGACACTTCACGGTTCATTGTGGCCAAACATGATCCTGACCTCATGGCCACCTTCAAATCTGTATGTTATTATTTTAGGAGCAGAGAATCTGGAAGATAGTTACACTCTCGCTGTTGCTATAACGCGAATATTGCTTGCAAGCAGCATATTTCATCCACCTCAGCACCCTCCGCAGACACGTGTAATGTCCTCGAATCTGGCGAGAATTCCGACGAAAGATCACTGGAAGCAGTCCCGTTCACAAATACGGTAACCATGGAAGATTTGCAATGCAATCCCAAATGCGCAGTCAACTTCTCTCTTGACGGTACATCTTTTCGGAGGTCGCGTCCAAACGACTAGCCGAACTGCCTTGGGACCTACCGCGCTTGTTGGCGAAAGGATCGTTCATTTCGTTGACGAGTCGTGATCGTTCGTAAATCAGAGTGTACGATGAGCTTGAGCAGGCGTTGCTAATATATAAAAGCTTCGCGCAAGGGAAACTGACCGTCTCACAGGCCTAAAATCTCGTACAAAGAACATGCCTTCAGAAGCAAGACTTGCCCAGTCACAGCAGCATCCATGCTTGCGTTCGTGACAACAGCGAAGTCACAGAACAGCTAGACACAGGTTTCACGACTGTGCCTTAGGATGCAGTGCATGTGACCACACATGGCAGCATCCCTCGTATCGCATGCTCTTTCTCGTTAAAACAATATTTCTCGAAACTTCCGAGATCGAGCTTGGCTGATACTTTTCTTCAACATCTCTTCATTTCGATTTAGGTTCTGCTCCTTGGTCATTCTATGGCTGCCTGCTTTCGCCTAGTTCCGACTGCTACTTGCCGCTTGGTACGCGAACTTACTGACAATCTCACGAACGTTCATTATTAATTAATATTATTTCCAGCTATTGAAGCTCAGCCTCACTGTGCTGGTTACCTCCTCGTCAATCCAACGTGGCTTATCGTGCGATCACCGCACGATTCGTTGAAAGAATCGCACGGTAACCACGAATTCATCGCACGATTTCGTCCCGTTGCGTGCAGGATCTACAGAATCGTGCCGGAACCACCCTGTGGAGCGGCGTCTCATCTGCGTCATCCACTCCGAAAGCACTCAGGTCCGTGATCGGAACGTGCGTGAACTAAGGGATTCTTTGGGTCCTTTGGAAATGTGGAATCTGACCAGAAGTCACCTCGTCTTGAAAGAACTCAGGTCCGTGATTGGAACGCGCCTGAACCAAGGGAGCCTTGTTAGTTAGTAGCTCGTGGAGTTGACTCGGATGTCGCCTGTAAAGAGTGAATGCTTTCCGTCTATTAGCTTCTGCCGCTGGACCCTGTAGTTGTTCCACCCCTTTTCTCAGCCGTTGCTGCTCCCTCACTCCCTTGACGGCGTACCGTTTAGCTATCCGTTTCTCTCTGTTGCTCGCTGCACCTTGTGCAACTGTAGCAGCTCCACTCAGTTCCTGGACTCCTCTCTCCTCCTGCACTCCCTTGGCGTCGCACGTTGAGACGTTTCAGTCGCTTATTCCTTGTGTTTGTTGTCTGCTGCATCTTGTGCAACTGCAGATCAGCCCACTTCCTCAGCTCCTCACTGCTTCTGCACTCGCTCGGCGGCGAAGGCGCGTGGTCCAGACAAGCAAGCAACGCGCGCCGTCGCTCCTGCAGCACGATCGTCCACGCCATGGCTGCAGGTACTGCGTGTGGTGCTGAAGTGATGGGTGGGGTGTGGTCCAAGCAAGCAAGCAGCGCGAGCCGTGCGCAGCGCCGCTCCTGCAGCACGATCATCCACGCCATGGCTGCAGGTACTGCGTGTGGCGCTGCAGCTTCATCCACGCCAGCAGATATGCACGGTGCTGACGTGATGGGTGGGGTGTGGTGTGGTCATGGCAATTTAGTAGCGCGTGCCATGCCGTGCCCATCGCTGCACCTGCAGCACGTTCGTCCACGTCATGGCTGCAGGTACTGCGTGGGGTGCTGAAGTGATGGGTGGGGTGTGGTCATGACCTGCACTCATACAGTCACACTTATACAGTCACACTCGTACAGTCACACTCATACATAGTCGCACTCATACACAGTCGCACTCATACATAGTCACACTCATACACAGTCACACTCATACACAGTCACACTCATGCACAGTCACACTCATGCACAGTCACACTCATACAGTCACACTCATACACAGTCACACTCATACGCAGTCACACTCATACGCAGTCACACTCATACACAGTCACACTCATACGCAGTCACACTCATACACAGTCACACTCATACGCAGTCACACTCATATACAGTCACACTCATACACAGTCGCACTCATTTTCACTCGCTCGCACACATAGACACTGGCTATCCCAGTGTGATTCGTCTCTGTCTCTGCCTCCCTTGAAGGAGTGCTGACGGAGCTCTGCCTCGTTGCACACTCATGCACAGTCACACTCATACATAGTCACTCTTATTCACACCCACGGTTGCACTTGGTCACACTCACATTCATGTAAACTTACACTCAGTCATACACACGGTCTTACTCAACTATCACACTCACACTCCCAGTTTCGTTCCTCCTCTGTTTCTGTCGCTACTGTGTTTCCTTCCAGCTGTGCTGGTTGAGAACAGCTGCGTGGTCCCGCTCGCTCAGGCATTCTCACTCCCGCTTGTGCTCGCACTCACACCAACAAACTCACCTTTACTCTCACACACACTCACATTGGCCCTCACCCGGACACTCAGCCTCAAATGCTACTTCTTTTGTAATGCCTCTCTCTGCTGCTACACCCCGTCGCAACAGCTGTGCTGCCTGAGAACAGCCCCGTGGTCTCCCGTGCCTGGCTTTCACACACACACACACATCGGCTATCAGCCTCGCACTCATCCTCGCAGTGCTGCTTCTACTGTGATGCCTCTCTCTGTCGCTCCCCCTTTCCCAACAGCAGTGCTGCCATATAGCAGCCTCGTGGTCTCCCCTGCGTGGCTGTCACACGCGCTCACAGTGGCACTCACCCCCTTGCACTGATCCTCACAGTGCTGCTTCCGTTGGGATGCCTCTCTCTGTTTGCCACCCCCCTTTTTCCAATATCTGTGCTGCCAGAAAACAGCCGCGTGGTCTCTCCTGCCTGGCTGTCACACGCACTCACATTGGCTCTCACCCTCGCACTCATCCTCCCAGTGTTGTTTCCACTGTGATGCCTCTCTCTGTCGCTCCCCCTTCCCAACAGCAGTGCTGCCAGAGAACAGCCCCGTGGTCTCCCCTGCCTGGCTGCATGACAACCTCTCCAAAGTCAAGGTCTGTCTAGTGGGTGGTGTGGTAACATCACGAGGTGGTGGGTGGTGTGGTAGCATCACGAGGTGGCAGGTGGTGTGGTAACATTACAAGGTGGTGGATGGTGGTGTGGCATCACGAGGTGGCAGGTGGTGGTGTGGCATCACGAGGTGGTGTGCGGCGTGGTAACATCACAAGTTGGTGTTGGTGCAGCTGTATCACGAGAAGGTGTGTGGAGTGGCAGGATTACGAGAAGGTCGGTGGAATGTTATGATTACAAAAACATTGGTGGTGTGGCAGGATATGAGGACCCACCTTCGTCTTTATCTTTTCATGATCTTGCCACCCACATCACCAATCGTCTTGTAATCCTGCTACTCCACCCACTTTCTCGTAATCCTGTCACACCACTCACCTTCTCGTGATCCCAGCACACCATGCACCACCCCGGGATGTTACCACACCACCCACCTGCTTTCTCATCTACCGTTCTGCGGATTCCCTTATCACCGCTGCACCTGTGCAATATACATTCTTTGATGTGATGTAGTGAAGTGGCGCACAATGGTTCGCGTCGTGTGCTGCACATGCACGCGTGCGTGCTGTGATGTCCCCCTCCCTTTTCCCCTTCTCAACCAACCCCTCGAATGGCCAACAGCTGCTAGTCTCCTCGTGGTGCATGCCTGCAAAAAAATGCCCTTCAAACGCTCTTCCCCCACTGCTCAAAGCACCACTTCACATGCTGTCCCCTCCTCCTTTTCAACCCCCAACCCCAACAGGTGCTCGACGCCTCGTGGTACATGCCTGCAAGGAAATGCCGCCTCCTTCAATGCTCCATCCCCACGTCTCAACCCTCCCCTCCTCTTTACCCACCCCACGCCCTCTTCCCCACTCTTAACCCCAGCAGGTGCTCGACTCCTTGTAGTACTTACCTGCTGAGAAGCGCCTTAGCCTACCTGAAAATGCTGTTTCCCCCGTCAAAGCTCAATGCCCCACTCCTCGCCCAGTTTTCCCTCTGATCGCGCAAACTACACAGGTCCTGGACGCCTCGTGGTACATGCCTGCGGAGAAACGCCTCTCGTTTCACACCTCAGTGCTCAACGCCCCACTTCACATCCTTCCCCCAACCCCACTTCCCCCTTTAACCCCCTCACCATCAGGTCCTGGACGCCTCGTGGTACATGCCTGCAGAGAAACGCCAGCCGTTTGAGGAGTTTCAGGTGAGGAGTGTCGCTGGTTGGTTGGTTCTGTTCTGTGTGTCACAAAAAGCATCATGAGAAGTATCTGGTCTTGCTGTGCTAATACGTCTATATCTGGTGAGGAGTTTCGAGTGTGGACATGTGAGTAACGCTCTGGATGCTGGGCTGGGAAGAGGAAGAAAGAGGGTGTGGTAGTTGGATGGACAGGGAGAACGTGTTTATGGTTCTGGATAATCAATACGGTTGAGTTTCAGGAGTTTGAGTAGACGGCCAGACAGACAGACAGACAGACGGACGGACGGACGGACGGACGGACGGACGGACGGACGGACGGACGGACGGACGGACGGACGGACGGACGGACGGACAGACATATGTCACTCTCTTGCTGCCCTGCTATCTGTTTTTTAATGCCAAAATATTAGATTGAAATGTTCCCCGTGGCGTCCTCTTTTCGTCTCCCTCCCTCTCTCGAGAGCGCAGCATGGGAGGATCCCAGGAGCCATCCTCTTTTATGTTGATGCCATTGCTGAGACGTCTCAAGAAACATCCTCTCTCCTTCTCCCTCCCTGTCTCACGTGCACACTGCGCAGCATGGGAGGATCCCAGGAGCAATCTTCTTTGATATTGACGCCATTGCTGACCCCACCACAGATGTAAGTGCGTCACTTAGTTAAAAAATAAAAACTTAATGTTTGAAGTGCGTCCGGCATTCAGATAAAATCCTATCGTACCACCGCCAGCCCTACACGAATTTGCCTTATTTCAAGTCATTCCCCTTGTCCCCGTCCGTGTCGTCCACATATTCTATATTGTGTGACAGCTTCCCCACATGCTGCCGACAGAGGCCGCCTTTTCTGCAGCTGCGTCAGCTTTGGGTTTGTCATCTAGTGACAGCATAGTGGTGTACGATGGCAAGGGACTCTTCAGCGCCGCCAGAGCGTGGTGGTGAGTGGTTCAAAGCGGTGACAAGTGGTTGTGTTTAATTTTGGTGGTGCTTCTACTGTGTGTGAGCTGGTCGAAACTGGGTAGGTGTGACATCGCAATTTCTTAGCAATCCTCCCACTTCAACTTTTCCCTGCTTCCCCTGCTGGTTCCCAACGCACACAGATTGTTCCGTGCATTCGGACATCCATACGTGGCAGTGATGACACCTCGCCTTTGCTCCATCCCCGTCCCGGGCCCTTCCCTTCCCCTCTCCGGCTCCTCCCTTTCCGCTTCCCAACACTCACAGGATGTTCCGTGCATTCGGCCAGCCACAAGTGGCAGTGCTTGATGGCGAGAATGACAGAAAGCTCACATCTGCCGCTGCTTCTTCTTTCCCCGCCCCCGTCCCTTCCCTTCTTCCTCCCCTTCCTCCTCTTCCTTCTCTTCCATTGTTTCAACGCACACAGGATGTTCCGTGCATTCGGACAGCCACACGTGGCAGTGCTGGACGGCGGGCTGCCAGCCTGGCGGGCGGCAGGCTACCCAGTGGAGGCAGAGCCGTCAGACAAGGCGACCGGGCGGCACAAGGCGGCTGCTACTGCCATCAAGGACAGTTACTCTACTAAGGTGTGTATCGGGTTGGGCGGCTGCGAGGTTGTTTGGGCGGCAGGCAGGCCCCACCCGGTGGGCACACAGCCGATCGATAGGACTGCTGGGCGGCATAAAGCGGCTGGGTGTGCAATCAAAGATGCCCTGGGTGCTCCCTTTTTCTCTTTTCGTTTTCCCTCTTCGCTTAGTTGTCATTCGTCTCTCTTTCCGCATTGATGAGCCTTTATGCATCAGCTCTCCTCTGTGACCATCTGATGAGCCTTTATGCATCAGCTCTCCTCTGTGACCATCTGATGAGCCTTTATGCATCAGCTCTCCTCTGTGACCATCTGATGAGCCTTTATGCATCAGCTCTCCTCTGTGACCATCTGATGAGCCTTTATGCATCAGCTCTCCTCTGTGACCATCTGATGAGCCTTTATGCATCAGCTCTCCTCTGTGACCATCTGATGAGCCTTTATGCATCAGCTCTCCTCTGTGACCATCTGGTGAGCCTTTATGCATCAGCTCTCCTCTGTGACCATCTGAGCTGAGGCATTTCAGAAACCCCTTTGAAGCACTGACGTCCATTTCTTGCTTCTGCGCCGCCCTGCCTTTTGAGGCGCATCAAAACCCCTTTGAAGCACTGACATCCATTTCTTGCTTCTGCACCGCCCTGCCTGCACTGATGTCCCTTTCTCTCTGCCTCTGTGTCTCCACCGCTCTCCAACCATCCAGGCCGCATCCAACCGCCTGCTCACTTTCAACGCCAAGCTGCAGCCCAACCTCATCCTGTCCGTTGATCAGGTGTGTGTCCCAGATAAGATTGTAATTTCCCCAGATAAGGCCTGCTCAGCTAAGGCCTGCTCAGCTAAGGCCTGTTCAGATAAGGCCTGCTCAGATAAGGCCTGCTCAGATAAGGCCTGCTCAGATAAGGCCTGCTCAGATAAGGCCTGCTCAGCTAAGGCCTGCTCAGATAAGGCCTGCTCAGATAAGGCCTGCTCAGATAAGGCCTGCTCAGATAAGGCCTGCTCAGCTAAGGCCTGCTCAGCTAAGGCCTGCTCAGATAAGGCCTGCTGAGATAAGGCCTGCTCAGATAAGGCCTGCTCAGATAAGGCCTGCTCAGATAAGGCCTGCTCAGCTAAGGCCTGCTCAGATAAGGCCTGCTCAGATAAGGCCTGCTCAGATAAGGCCTGCTCAGATAAGGCCTGCTCAGATAAGGCCTGCTCAGATAAGGCCTGCTCAGATAAGGCCTGCTCAGATAAGGCCTGCTCAGATAAGGCCTGCTCAGATAAGGCCTGCTCAGATAAGGCCTGCTCAGATAAGGCCTGCTCAGATAAGGCCTGCTCAGATAAGGCCTGCTCAGCTAAGGCCTGCTCAGCTAAGGCCTGCTCAGGTAAGGCCTGCTCAGATAAGGCCTGCTCAGATAAGGCCTGCTCAGCTAAGGCCTGCTCAGCTAAGGCCTGCTCAGATAAGGCCTGCTCAGATAAGGCCTGCTCAGATAAGGCCTGCTCAGATAAGGCCTGCTCAGATAAGGCCTGCTCAGATAAGGCCTGCTCAGATAAGGCCTGCTCAGATAAGGCCTGCTCAGATAAGGCCTGCTCAGATAAGGCCTGCTCAGATAAGGCCTGCTCAGATAAGGCCTGCTCAATAAGGCCTGCTCAGATAAGGCCTGCTCAGATAAGGCCTGCTCAGATAAGGCCTGCTCAGATAAGGCCTGCTCAGATAAGGCCTGCTCAGCTAAGGCCTGCTCAGATAAGGCCTGCTCAGATAAGGCCTGCTCAGATAAGGCCTGCTCAGATAAGGCCTGCTCAGATAAGGCCTGCTCAGATAAGGCCTGCTCAGCTAAGGCCTGCTCAGATAAGGCCTGCTCAGATAAGGCCTGCTCAGATAAGGCCTGCTCAGATAAGGCCTGCTCAGATAAGGCCTGCTCAGATAAGGCCTGCACTAAGCTTCAAGCCAGGGGATCCTTTAAAGTTTTCTGCTTCCGCTGGCCTTTCATGCGCTTCTGCTGCCTGACTCTGGTAACGTTCTTCTTAACCTTTGCATGTCTTCAGGTGAAGGCTAATATCGAGAATAAGGTGTATCAACTCAGCGATGCCCGTTCTGCTGGCAGGTGTGTTGTGGTGGGGTGAGGTTATTTGTGATGTGGTGGAATGGGGTGGGGTGGGTTGGGTGGGGGTGGGGTGGGGTGGGGTGGGGTGCAAGCATCATGCAATTCGGTGGGTGGAAGCTTGGTGGGAATGCTTGGCAGCTGATGGCATGGCAGCATGGTGGCATGGTGACAACTTTTTCTGTGCCTAGTATCATGTGCAAGTATGTCTTCTCTCGCGTGCATGTGCATGCATATCTATTGCTATGCATGCATGCGTGACTCATGTTATGCATGCCTTTCCTTGCGCATGTGTGCCTGCATGTCTGCTCTTTTGCATGTGTGCATGCATGTCTGCTCTTTTGCATGCGTGCAAGCAGGTTCAAGGGCGTAGACCCTGAGCCAAGGGCAGGAGTGCGAGGAGGAAGCATCCCAGGAAGCTTCAACGTGCCATTTCCCGAGGTAGATTTCAGCCAATTGCGAGTCAGCATTCCCTTGAACGCTTCTAGCATCGCAGGAGTGGTTCTTTTAGGTGAGTGTTTAGGCTCGTCAAAGTGACTTTTGAGTTGACTCAAAACTCACCTCGTTCTTTTACGTGAGTGTTTAGGCTCCTCAATTCTCACCTCAATTCTCATTGAACACACTTCTAGCATCGCGGGAATCGTTCTTTTAAGGATTCTCTCAATATAAGCGTTCATGCAACTTCCTTGTAGAGAATCAATTTAACTGTTGACCCCACAGAGACAGTTACAATTTAACTCAGATCTCACCCAAGCCTTGCAATGGCTAGCTGAGTGCTAACTTCTCTTGCCCTCCTTTCTTCCCCCCCCCCACTGCCCATTGCCCACTGCCCATTGCCCACTGCCCATTGCCCACTGCCCATTGCCCACTGCCCGCCAGGTCCTGACCCCACAGGGACAGCTAAAGCGTGCCTCAGACCTCACCCAAGCCTTCAAGAGTGCAGGCAAGTCAGACGTGCCTGGTTGGTTGTGGGGAAGGGGGAGGAGAAGCGGGATGGTGCTTTTTGAGTCGACTTAAAAGTCGCTTTTTGAGTTAACTCTAAAGTCACCTCGTTGGTTGTGGAGAAGGAAGAGGGGAAGCAGGATGGTGCTGCAGCTCTTCGCTTGTCCCTTGCTGCCGCCGCGTTTGTGTTTAGACGTCTTGGGACATTTTCCAGTGAGCAGCACTTGCTTAACCCTACTTCCAGTATACTGTTTCGTACTGTTTTTTCCTACTTGCTTAAACCTACTCCTACGCAAGTGCTGCTTACTGGAAAGTGTCCCAAGTGCTGCCGCCACGGAAGTGTTTAAACATCTCGAAAATTTTGGGGCATCTTAAACGTTATGGCATCCACAACTTTACTTTCTTCCCCTGCAGCTGTTGATCTCTCCCATCCCTCCTGCCTTCTGTGTTACACCTCTCCTCCTAACTTCTGTCCTCTCTGCTTTCTCTCTCTCTGCTTTCTCTCTCTCGTCAACCCCCCTGCAACCCTCTCCCTGCCATGCATTGATCTGTCTGCTCAACCCATTCCTGTGCCAATCCCTTTGAGGAACCCTCTTTCGTCCCTTCCTGGCCAATTTACCTGCCACCTCCTCTCTGCCCTGCCACCTCCACCCTGCCTTGTTGATCTATAGGTTTTTGCGTCCTCTCCCTGACTTTTGAGTCGACTCAAAAGTCAACTCTCCCTGTGCCAATCCTTGCACGAGCCAACATCGAGGACCCCAGTCAGCCTCTGTAGCCTCCTCCCTGCCCTGCCACCTTCCGCCCGCCCAACCACCTGTAACCTGCCTTGTTGATCTTTCTGTGTTGACCTCCTCTCTCTGTGCTAATCCTTGCAGGAGCCAACATGAAGGACCAAAAGTCAACCTGCTCTGCCACCTCCTCCCTGCCATGCCACCTTTAACCTGCTTTGTTGATCTTACTGTGCTGGCCCCTCTCGTGATGTCTAAGCATGCAGGAGTCAACATCGAGGACCCAAAGCAGCCTCTCGCCGCCTCATGCGGCACGGGAGTCACTGCATGTGTGCTAGCTCTGGTACGTGTGCTGCACCACAGTGCACCGCAGTGCACCGCAGCGCACTGCAGTGCACCGCAGTGCATTACGATCTATCTATGCGAATTGAATCCTCTGACCATCACAGCACCGACACACTCATGCGCTGGAATACATCTCCTCACCCCTCCGTCTCCGCACCACTCACTCTGCCCTTCCCCTCACTTGTCCCTTTGCTCCCTTACTCTGGCCTCTGGCTCGCCTGGGTCGGTGGGATGTGAGGTGTATGTATGATGGCTCCTGGACTGAGTGGGGTAGCCTGCAGGACACCCCAGTTGTCAAGTGGAATAGCGGCGAGTTTCTACCTCTGCACGCTCTCTTCCTCACACTCTACTTTTTGCATCCTTCTCTTTCCTCTGCTCTCCCTGCTGCAGGCTCTGGCTTGCCTGGGGCGGTGGGACGTGCCGGTGTATGATGGCTCGCGGACAGAGAGGGGTAGTGCTCCTCCTGTACATCGTTTCCCTCACACTCTGCTATTCTCTTCCTTATACCCCCTTCTGCAACTCGTGTTCCTCCGTCTCTGCCCTCCCTCGCTGCAGGCTCTGGCTCAACTGGGTCGGTGGGACGTGCCCGTGTATGACGGCTCGTGGACAGAGTGGGGTAGCCTGCAGGACACGCCAGTTGTCAAGGCAGAGTGACGGCAAATGCCATTCAAATTCCATTCCAATCCAAGGAGCATTGCAATGGCATGCGTGCGTGAAACCCCTCCCACGAAGCAGTCTGATGGATTAGAGCATCCAAGGGTCGTGGTCGGATCTGACTGAGGCACACAGGGTGTTTTTGAGAATTCTCCAAAACACCCTGCAGCATCAGGATCGTGTTCTGATCTGACTGAGGCACCTCACAAGTTGTTTTGAGGCGCCTCGAAAGATAGATTAGGGTATCCCTGTGTCGTGGAGCAGTGTCCTGATGCGCGGTACTCAGTGTGCGGGCATCTGATTGCATGTGCGTGCCTGTAGGTGGTTGTCTTGTTTTTTGTTTCAAGAACATTCATCTTCCTACGGTTATGGCATGTAGAGGCTGCTTTGATAGACTGGAAACGTTCTACCAGACTGCTGGTTCTCCGGCTGTAATGTACCTTATTGGCAAGGAATCATTGTTTAGTGTGTATTGATGTCCGGTATGCTTTTCAATTGATGTGATGTTCTTTCTCCCTGCCACAGTTCCCTTGCCCCGGCCCCGCCACCCAATTAGTGTCTGTCGCCATTTGTTAGATGGCATATGGGAAGTGTGTCTCTCCACAACCGACCTGAAATGTACCGTAATGCTGTGCATCACAGTGAAAGGCAGTGTAATGGTGTGCTTGACACTGCAATGCTGTCAACTCCATGCTTTGCCCACACAGTCACACAGGCACCACAGACACACACACTGACACCACACAGACACACAGACACAGACACAGACACAGACACAGACACAGACACAGGCACAGACACAGACACAGACACAGACACAAGCACAGACACAGACACAGACACAGACACAGACACAGACACAGACACAGACACAGACACAGACACAGACACAGGCACAGACACAGACACAGACAGAGACAGAGACAGAGAGAGAGACAGACACACACACACACACACACACACACACACACACATGCACACACACACACACACACACACACACACACACACACACACACACACACACACACACACACACACACACACACACACACACACACAGTGGAATGGAGTGTGTCACTCAATCTGGAAGATTTGGAATGGTGACGTGGCAGTAGATTGCGTACCTACCCATGCGGTAGTTCCAACCAGGTGAGCTCAGCCCAGCAGGGAAACGGATACCAGCAGCAGCATTGCTGAGCTTGGCTTCGACCAATAAGTGCGGTTGCTGCTGATGTTGGAATTTGTAACATCCATTTCAAGCACGGTATTACACAAGCAAATGCTACCTTGCAGAAGAAAAGAAGCATGATACAAGCACACAGGACGACAAAAGAGCCTTCCTATGTGTTGGGAAAATAAACGCATGACTTAGTGCGTTTCTGTAGTATCGAACCTCACCCGATACTGAAGCACAACAAAAGGAGTACGAAGTCGAAAAGGCGCGCACCACATCAAACCGCAACTGGATGTTGCGAGCTGTAACCGCCTGGAGGTTACGTAACAGCAAGCGACGCTTCAGTGAACAGTAACCACCTCGATAGTCGAAGCGTTACGCGTCTCGATAAACATAACCGCTTCTTGTAATCTATCCTTTCTATATATTCCTGTATGCCCTTTGCTTTAATCAATTACTTGTTCTCACATACCAGCACAAGTACATTCACTCAAGACTTCCGCTGTGCTACTCTAGCACCTACTAGCCTATTCTCTGCAAAGATCCTAAGGCTAAAATTCTCAGCCCAACATGGTATGAGAGCAGTCAGAGAACAAAGGCTCTCGTCACTAAGCCTCTTCCAGGCTACCAATCTGCAAACGACCAAGAAGTTCAACCTTCACTCAAGAAATGCAAGACATGGCAAGTGGCAAAGAAAGAAGATCATCTACGGGATCTACTCTACCCCCGGTCTCCGAGTTGCAGACCGAAGGAGGAACAACGCCCGGATTAACGCCGGAAGCGACGGAACGCTCTACTCAAGCACCAGTAGCGCCGCCAACAATCTTCAACCCAAGCTTAATGGAGGAGTTCTTCAACTTCATGTCGCAGCAGCAGTCCTCACAACCTGCAAACAGCAACAGCGTAAACAACGGAGCGGCACCAATGAGTATTGACAACTCATCGTTCGGACGACATAATCAACAAACACCAAATTCGGTCTCACCTGGTTCCTTCACGTTCATGCCGCCCCGCCATCTAGCGACTCCTCTTCCCGCCATCAAACGAGACACCGAAGAAGTCCTGCAAGTACAAGCACAGTTCAACAACATCCTACGACTGCACACATCCACACCATTCAACGGGAAGGACTTCTACTCTTGGAGCTTCGAGTTTGAACTCCTGATGGAAGGCGCGAATCTTCTTGGCTTCTTCAACGGTACCTGGCCATATCCACACAACGGCGAAGACAAGGACAAAGAAAATTATACGTATCACTCCCTCATGGCTTACACCGTTCTTCTCCGAAACCTGTCGCCGAACGAACAACAAAGCATCCGCGCCTACCGGAACTACGCAAACTCCGCGGAACTCGCTTATCAACATCTGCGAAGTATTCATCAAGCATCCGACAGCGTTACGCAAAGCCGACTCATGGCACAACTGACAACAGTTCAAATGCAACCTGGAGAAAAGGCCATGCCTTACATCAGTCGCTGTCAAGGACTACGCGACAGACTCATTCGCTGCGGAGGAAACTTATCTGAAGAAGCTTTCGGAACCGTGCACCCACCGGACCAGACACATGGCTCCTCGACAGTTGTTGCGGTCATCACATGTGCTCTTCATCACGATTTCTTCAGCGCGAACGACGTCTTCCGCGAGACGTCATCATCACCATCGCCAACAACGAAAACCTGCGCACCAACAAACAAGGAGTCGTGGAGCTTCAGTCAAACGAAACAAACGTTATTCTTCAATTAAACAAAGTACTCGTCGTCGACAACCTCGGCTTTAACTTACTGAGCGTCAGCCAACTCATGTCGAAAGGCGTTCACCTGGAGTGCGACTCCGACGCCCTGGAAATCCGTCTTTACCACGGAAAAGGGGGGGTCTTCATCGGCCGTGCAATCCAACAAGATGGCGTGTTCGTCCTCGACTTCGTCCCCGACAAAGGCACCGCAGACAGCGACGGCATAGTCGCTCTCGCACCTTGGACGCATCCGCCAGACCTCGACCCGAACTTCAGTCCTGAAGGCTTCTGGTACTCTCGTACCATTCCCGAAGCTGAACGCACCAACGCGCTTGCCGTCCTGCAAACACAAGCCACAACACCTGAGTCAGCACCCGTCATCGAAACAACAACTGCACCCGTCACAACACCAACAACCACCGAACCTGCAATTGAAGAACCAGCCGTCGTCGCGGAACAACCTTCCGAAACTCCACAGCTCGGTCCCTCCGTCGCACCTCCACCTCTCATCATCGACACGCCACCGACAGCCGCCCAACAGTTAACGCCAGCACCACGCGCCGTTCATCGAAGTGCAGCAACACACGCCGCCTTCTTCGCTAACGCAGACTTCTATCGACGCTCCGTAGGTCACAGCGCCTCCGAAGACATCTGGCATCAACATCTTGGACATCCTGGAAACACAACACTCTACAATACAATACGAGCCGGAGTGTTGGACAAGAACGCCCTACTTCTTCCCAACGGAAGTGAACTCGAACGACCACGCGGCACCTGCTTCATCTGCCCGGAAGCAGATCTACCTCACCAACTGTTCCCGTCACACCACAATCCGAGCGCCCCCGCTTATCAACCACTCGAGAAAGTCTACAGCGACATACTATACATACCTCGAACTGAAGGACGTGAAGATCTGAACTACGTCATCACCTTCATCGACGCCGCAACGCGATATGTCTGGCACGTCAACTTACCGTCACGAGACATGGCTCTAGAAGCCTTCACAGCCTGGCTACCTGTCGCTGAAAGAGAGTCAGGAGCGAAACTGAAGAGTTTTCAATCAGATGGCGCAAAGGAGTACCAGTCAAACAGCTTCACACAGTTCTTGGCAGAAAGAGGCATCAAACGCCTCATCTCTCTTCCTTACGCTCACCAACAGCAGGGTGTGGCAGAAAGGATGAACAGGACCCTGCAGACAACAATGCGAAAGCTGCTACGTGGAACTCGACTGCCCAACTCAGAATGGCCAACAGCGATGGACCACGCTGTCCTCCTGCACAACTTGTTGTCCTCGTCTTCACTGCCCAACAACGCATCTCCGCACCTGTTGTGGACTGGGAAGCTGGGCAACACAAAAATGTTACGAGTTTTTGGGTGTATGGTACAGTACCGCCCACACACTGCACGCGCAGGGAGATTCTCGCAACGTGCACAGTGGGGTCTACACCTCGGGCTGGCAAAACATTACGAAGCATGGCGAATCTTCGACGTCCACACAAAGGAAACAGTAGCAGCACGTGACGTTATCTTCTACGAGCGACTCATCCTCAACCATTACCTGGACAACATCGCACGCCACGTCGACCCCACCGGCGGATTTTCTGGTTCCCGAGCCTTCGCTTCACCCTCCGATGCTGCTGACTGGGAAGAAGAGAACGTCGACGGCGCCTCCGAAGCTGCTGGACCCCTTCCTTACTGCTCCGTCCCAATCCCCATGGACGAGGAAAACCCTCGCGACAGTAACAATGCCGACGCCTACTACCATTTCGCCGACAATGGTTACGTAACACCCCAACCCGTCAACACCGACATCTCTGAACGATACGGCCCCGGATTCGCACCTGATCCTGAAGCGGGAGACGAAGCAGTCTATCCCGAGGACCCCTTGTTGAATCGTCACACCCCCAGCGGACTCCAAGTCCTGGGACTCGTCGCTGCAGTGCACGGGCCTTCGTCGCCACCTGAAGAGCCTCGCTCTGTCAAGCAGGCTCTAGGGGGGGAACACAAAGAAAAATGGCGCGAAGCCATGGAAAAGGAGTTAAAAGCGCTCTCATACCGCAACACCTGGAAGATCGTCCCTGCATCACTCGC